ATATGATATTTCTCACTTTTTTGCTATCCAATTAACATTTCCATGTTCAACAAACTGCAGCGATGGCAAATACGAGCAGGCTTATTTGACTGTGAAATATTATGATAGCTTCGTCTAAAAGAGCAAAACTTCATAAAACTTTTTTTAATTCGACGGCTGACAACATGCGAATATTTAGCGCCAGATCTGTCCACCTGAAGTGGCTTCCTCTATTTACATAACAAGCAGTGACTCCTAGCAGTGACAACTGGTGTCTAAAGCCTTATCTAAATGACAGTATTTTATCACGTTTGCTCATTATATGTCATCATGTTGAATTAAAGTGATTGGTTACAGTCTGGCTTGCGGTTACGTGTATCTGCATAACAGAGCATTACTATTTTGATCATTTTTCACGGTGGTCTACAGCTGATAGCTGAGTTTAATGCATGCAGCTCTGCTGGTAATGTTGAGTGACGGGCTGTGATCACAGAAGGCATCAACTGTCAGGATTTCAGCCCAGGGACTGCAGTTATCTCTGCATATTCTTCCATTCAATCCTGATAGTCTACCAAATTCATGTATTCAGAGCAGGGTTTGAATCGGAGCTGTGGTCTCTGTGGGATCTGGAGATGCTTTTTTAGGCTACAATTTATGTGGAACACCAATTGTCACAAAATGCTACTACTATTACTTTTACTACTAATAATAACAAAAGTAGTGAATAACAATAGAAATATTGAAGATTTACAGTCTTAGTTCAGCATCTATCTTCTTCCTTTCAATCCTTCTGCCACACAAAAAGTAGTTATGCTTAACCTATAACTCATAATAGTACAAAATAGTAAAGATGTAAACAATCATTCAGAGTGGCGTGGTGTGAAATGCTCCATTCTAGATACTTACTGAGGCATACTTGTTCACAGTGGTGATGATGGGAACCAGACATCTGAAGAGATAAGCTCCCTCACAGGAAGTTACTTCATGAAACAATAAACGTTTTATGTTTAATGTTTAATGCCTTTAAACGCTTCCTCACAAAACTTTTGTCTCTAAACTTTTTTTTTTTCTATTCATTCATGGTGGAAGGGTAAAGAAATCGGAGTCAGAGTTTCTCTACAACAAACCATTTCACATCAAACCACTCTTTGTTTACATCTCTGGGGTTCAACTATGTCCAAAATTCATCATGAATGGACCAAAAGAAATGGTTTCAAATCACTTGAAATAAAATACTGTTACACTTACATACATTAAGGTTAAAGTCAACCTGAATTCAAAATTGTTGTTAGTTCATGTTTCTGGTCATATTAAATATGATTAATGATATAATCTAATTGAAAAGACAGAATTCTTGTTTATCTGTAATCTTTGATTGTAATGTAATGAGTTTTGCTCCACCTCTGAAACATCCTCTGATTATTGATTGTCAGTGTGCACCAGTGGGCCAAAAATATCATATTTCACCTCCCCCTCCCACCGCTCCCACCTAACACTGAGAGAAAATGCTCAGCTGGCATTAGAAACCCTTCCTGATATCGTGTTTCACTCAAGAATGGCTGATCTTGTCAAGATACTCTTTCAGAAACATGTTAACATGTTTACACATGAACCATGAAATATTTCATTATTTACTGTAATATCAACGTTTTAAGTTGGTTTATGCATTTAATCCCTTTACTTTTAGATCAAATGAAGGAAAAAATTGGAAAGGGAAAAAAGCTGATTACAAATTATCACTATTATTATTATTATTATTATTATGCATAAAGCATTAGGATTTATGGGACGTCAAACAATGAAGAAGTAAAGCCAATCTCAGGAAAACATGAGGGTTAATTTGAAGCCATAAGCCCCGCAGTGGAAGCACAGCAGGTGTAGAAAGAGCCTCATCCAGGGTGAGTCATATTCAGCAGCTCAGTCAATGGAGCATGCCAGTCTCATCTCATTTCCCCTGCAGCGCTCTCTCTCCCAGCGCAGTCTGTTCCACTGACGGAGCTGCTGTGTCTGTGCTGCTGGAGTCGGCCTTCACACGCTCCGTCTCCCCGCGCTCCTGATGGGCCGGAGCTCAACAAAGCCCAGAAATTCTTTCCTTATGAAGATATCCGTCATGTGGAATACATGAAAAGTAGCGTGTTCACTGGTCTGAGGATGAGAGACCATAAGCTCCCAAAAGCCTACGGATGTCACTTTGGCAGTGACTGTGTAAAGCATAGCGAGAGTCCTCTGATCACACTGTGTTCACACTGTGGTCTTTTCACCAACATGTGTGGAGTGTCTGCCACAGTCTTAGGCTCTCTGAGAAGGTTTGATTTAGCCCTGTAGGATTATTTAGATATTAATCTTACTTAAATTTATTACTATAAATTCTTCATTAACTGCTATGTAATATGTAAGTTGTAAAATTATGAAAGTGAGGAACTAAACTGTGGACCTTTGGGTTTAAGAGTTTAAAGTTATTTATATGCATATCAAGCATTTATTTGTTTGGAATATACTACTACAGCAAAATACTTTAATATTTAAAAAATAATTGCAAAAATAACTGCAATTTCTGCCTGTTTTTGAGGAGGTTCCTCAGTAGAACTATGCACAATTTTGCTTCAATTTACACAGATTTTGATGAAAGTGGCTCAGTCTTCCTCTTTCAGCCCTCATTGCTAGCTAACAGCTCAACACAGAGTCACAGCAATTCACACATCCATAGAGAACACTGTCCTGGTTAATCTGATAGTGGTATGGGTTATTTCTGTGTTTTTATTTAATTATTTTAAGTTAATATGAGTTACTTTCCATTCCACTTGCATAATGACCACTAGGGGGCCTGCGGAAAGAAGCTACTACAATAAAGAATAATAAAAAATGGCAACTAATTGTTGCTGTTTGATCTAGAAAGTTTGATTTCAATGAGTTTGATTCCTAGTTATTGTATTCTTGATTGCTATAGTACAGTGAAACAGATTGGCCACCCTGATAAGCAAACCACACTGTACCAGTAAGAGTCCTTGGGCAAGACTCCTAATGCTGCATTCACCTATATCTGTAACATGATTCAATTGTACATCATTCTAGACAACAGTCTCTGCCAAACGTTAATAATCAGCGTTCTCTTCTTTAACACTGGTGTTTATTTGGTGTTGCAGTCAAGCTCTCCTTAATTTGTTCCCAGTTATGAGAACAGCTCAGCCAAACACGGTGGCACATTATGGAAAAGTGTCAAGAGCCTGAACATTTAGATTTGCAGTATATTTGAAGACCAGGAAGCAAAGTCAAATGGATTTCTGTTTCTCTGTGTATTTCCACATTAACTTGTATGAGAGCAGAGCAGTGAGCAGATTTAGACTGCAGCACTGCACGCTCCGTAATGCCTGGTAATGGATTGTTAACGGTGCCTGTACTGTGGGCTATGAATGGTAGATGAGAGAGGATGACTCACTGCCTGGTTGGGGGAGGAGAGAAGGTGGAATGAGTCATCGCTGCCTTCCTTCAATCTGTTTACAGCTCCTGAGATAGATGGCCCCCGCCGATAGATGGCCATCCAATAAGAGCGGAGACGCTTCCCCTGGTTTAAAGTCAGAGCTGGCTACACTGATATCACAGCAGAGATGAACGATAGATATCAGAGAAGGTGAATAGACCAGCATGCACCCCCCCGTTTGAGTATGCTGAGAATTTATTGAGCACATTTGGGAGAGTGGCCTTCAAATCCCAAGCCTTTCTTACAAACAGAAAAAAAGAATTGCTGGAATATACAAAAATCCAAAAAAAGACAATAAAGAAATGAGGGAAAATACAAGTAAACACAATAAAAATAAGCGATTAAAAGGGGGATTTTACACAAAACTAGGATTTAATATGTATAATATTTGTCAGGTTATGTAATATTCTGAAGTGCAGTGTTATAACCCTCAGCCTCATCGGTGGGACAAAATTCATGATTTTGTATCCTTTTTCTGTCTTCGACCATAAACGTTCTCTCACTTCAATACTCAGTAAGCATTATGCAAATATGTCAGCCACTGGTAGTCTAAAAAATCCTGACTGCAACACTTAAAAAAGATGGGTTCTTTAGCAGAGGTGGGAACAAGTCACTAAGTTGCAAGTAACATGTAAGTCTCAAGTCTTCACACTCAAGTCCTGAGTCAAGTCCCAAGTCAAGACAGTCGATGAAACTTTATATTTGAAGATACTTTTAGCTCTGCCAACTAAAAACAACCACTAGTTTGAACTGAATTTAGACAACAGAAACCAAACGACTGAGCCAAACAAAGTTTACAGAAAAGACAGCAAAATGATGGTAAAAGTACGAAGCTGAAGTTGACTTTTTTTTTGCCAGCTTCTTATTTGAATTTTCCGTTCCACCTTAAATGGTGATGCTGTTGATGCTTCGCTTGTTTCCAGCATTTGGAGGCAAACTTGAGCTCTCACGCTTCCCTTGTCTTCCGAAATAAAAATAAACTGAGCATAAGCACAGTGACAGACTTCTGATGACATTGCTGTTTATTCAATTTATGGCAGGAAACAAATTCATTCACATGAAAAATAATCGACTGTGCAGAGTCCCATCTGCAGTCAGACTCTGCACGTTTCCTCTACTTTGAGTCTCGAGTCTTTCCAAGTCATGACACTCAAGTCCAAGTCAGAGTCCGAGTCACTGGTGTTGAAGTCAAGGTCGAGTCGCAGGTCTTTCCCGATTTTCTCAAGTCGAAGTCGAGTCAGAGTCGAGTCCAGGGCATTTGCCTCAAGTCCACACCTCTGTTATTTAGTTAAGAAAATGGCTCTATATAAAACCATGAACACTCAAAGAACCCTTTGCATGATCGAAGGGTTCTTTGCATCGTACAAGGGTTCTTCCAATTGATGGAGAATGTGCTGTAGATGGTTCTTTATAGCACCTTTTGAAAAGGGTTCTTCTCTTGTTATAAGCTTGTCTTCATAACAATAGCAGACCCCTTTTTGGTGCTGTATAGAACACTTTTCAAAAAGGTGCTATTAGAACCATCTACAGCACATTCTCCATCAATCTGAAGAACCTTTCACGATGCAAAGAACCCATTAATCATGCAAATAGAACCATTTTTTTACTAAAGAACCCTTGAAGAACCATCTTTTGTAAGAGCGTACCATACTGACCTTCAGTCCACCCTCAAGTAGTACTTCTCAGTACCTACTAAGTCCCTCTTACCATTAAGATACCTCTTCAGAAGGTGAGTTTAGTCTTTAAACCAGAAAACTGTGCTCCAGAAACTACTGTGGCACCACTGTAGGAGGTGAACAGGTATATTTACAACAGATTTCCAGTGGTTACATTTTGACTCAAGTGCTCCTTTAGGTGAAGCGATTAAGGTACATTGCATTGAAGTGCCTATGCAGATCAACAACACCATGTTCCTCTTCAGGACTGCCGTAAATGAGGAAGTGAGCCACGACTCCAACATCATTATAATCATTGTGCCACTCAATAAGGTGGATTATATGAGCAAGAGGTTGCCAGGTAACCACAAAGGAGTGGGTGAGTGTGAGTCGACCCTCTGATTTTTTTTACCATTAACTTGGCCATGTGAGTAACCATGTTACCAAGCAATTTCTGATTTTATCTCGAACAGAAAACAGAAAGAAATGATCCTAACAATAATAATGAACAGCACGATTGACATGATTGATTTTAAATTATAAATCAATTAGAGACTGCACAGACTACCACACACTAAATGAAACCATTTGCAACCAATTTTCTCCCTGGACATTTTTCATTTCTCAGAAAGGCCTGGATACACCAAGGCAGCAGATATTGGAATCTCATGACAATTACATGGACAGCAGCTGCCAATTCAGCGCAGTGAACGAACAGGATTCACTGCAAAGACAAGCTGCAATATTTATGGACTTGATTCTGACCTAATTTGATTTTAATCGCCTTGTTTGCTCTGTTTGTTCCTTTGACAAAGGTGGCAGCAGAAATTGTAAATATTAGAACCCAAACTTTCTATGTTTCATTGGTTCAGAAAAGTCCCAAGTCTTTGCACATGGTCTCTTCAGGTGTGAGATACTGACCCCATTTACGCCCAGTCATTTCATGCGACTTCTATCTGCATTATTTCCTGACAACCACTTTTGCACAGTAATCAAATACATTTCTGGTTTGTCAGATTGAAAGCCAACTGTTATATGGGGTGCAATGTACAAATCAGTTGATAACATGACAACCAATGGCCTTATGAAGGTTTCTTTTATCTGTTCTATTTAAAACATGGGGTTCTGGAGGGCGTTGGTCATGTCCTTAAGCATAGCGGAAGGCGACAACTTTGCCAATCAATGTTTACAAGAGGCCAATCATCACGATCATGTGCTATGAAGTAATGAATGTGCGCTGTCCAAAAGTTTGTAGACACTGACTCATCCCATGTTTCTTCTGAAATCCAGCTTCTACTCTTCTGGGAAGGCTTTACACTGGATGTTGGAGCATTGCTGTGAGGACGTGATTGCAGACAGCCACCAGAGCATTAGTGAGGTCAGGTACTGATGTTGGATGATCAGTTCTAGACCACTCCAACTCATCCCAAAGGTATTGGATGGAGCTCTATCTCTCCAGAGGACGCAGTTCCATTGCTTCACAGTCCAGTGTTGGGGGGCTTTATAACTTTTAGTCCAAGATTGATATTGGGCATGGTGATTGTTAATTAGAAAGAGTGTCTGGATCTGGACATCTAGAGTATTTACACTTGTATAACATCTGCGTACAGAGGTCTTCACATCTGAACCTTGAATCCACATTCTGGATTTTGTAATCGCTGGTAGGTAATTAATAATTACATCAGCAGTTCAGAACTAAAAACTGGATAAATGGTCAGATTTGAAGACCTCTTGGCCAGAATATGTCGCCTCCTGAAGTGATATGGGATTTGTATTTGTATCGGGTGCACACATACATTCTTTTATGTGGATAATCTCTGTTCTGTTATAATCCTGATAATTAAGACACTTAAAACGACCAGGTGTAAACTTCATCACTGGTAAGATTTTTCTCTCTTTGGATCAAATCACAACAGGCCTACCTAGTGTATCCAGGTCTTTAGAGGGCTGAGTTTGGGTGGGTTATTTAAGGAGTAGGCTGGATGTTCTCCACCTTAGAGAGACTGACAGGTACAGCCCCATCCCCTGCTGCTGGGCTCGGAGCTTTAGTGACGAGGCTTGTGTTGCTCCTTCCAATCGCTCCAATCTGCCCTCCACTGCCCCCCTTCTTCTCTTTCCCAGTGGTCTGTGGACTGTGCTCACCCTCTCTGCCCGCTGGTCTGGAGAAGGCAGACACCAGCAGCCCAGCAGCCATCAGCAGCCCTCCCAGGCTCAGCATGCCTGTGCCGGCCTGCACGCACATATGCAGCCCCTGGTTATACTGCACGGCCTGGCGGTCCACAAACAGCAGCTCCCCCTCTCCAAAGGCTTCAATGCGGGAGGGGACGGCAAAGCCCACTGTCAGGACCACCAAGCCCACGGCTAAAACTACTGCTCCAAAAGCAAGAGAAACCTGAGAGAGAGGGGACGAGCCATTTCATGTAGTGAGACAGATTGAAACAATGGAACTCTCATTCTTATTACTTGACAAAAACATGTTTGTTTGGTGAGTAGATATTTGTTGCTGTTTGTAACTCACAAATGTGGTTGTTTTATATAAAGTTTAAAAAGTTATAGCACAAACAACTACAGAATTATTGAGACTGAGATGAAAAGTGTTACAACCCCCCCGGTTTCCCGTACATAATTTCCACATGACTAACATAATCGCAATTTTTGCTGAAAGTATCTAAGTAAGTGTGATAATATCTTATTCATTTGGAAATGTTGTATACATTTGAACTAGGTAAATTGTGTATAATTAAGTTGGCTTGACAAAGCTGTCTTACTATTCTTTGTTTTACTGTTCTACCTTTTTATTGTACAATTTTTCAAACACAGTTATTTTTTCCCATAAAAAATGAATGGCAGAATGTTGAGAAAATTCACATCTGACTTCCACAAATGATGTTACTAAGGACATCTGTCATCTTTCAATCTTTCACACTTACACTCATAGACATTACATACATACTAGCGCACACACACACACACACACACACACACACACACACACATTATTTATATATATATATATATATATATATATTAGAACCCTTTTTTGTTTAGACTGAGGGGCTGGCAACATATGTTCTTAACTAGAACTAGGCTGGTCAGCTAGCTAACAGGCTAAAAGAGCCAACAGCCTAAACAACTCCATCATTAATACTTACGGTCTGATTAACTGTAAAACAGCAGTATAAAAGTCTAAAAATGTCACTAGAATTGATTACTTGCTTCAAATGTTCGTGTTTCAGTCAGAAGTGGTGTCAAACCCAGGCTGAATCCCAAATGGCTCCGTACCACCGAAATAGTGCTAGCCATAAAAGTTTAGAAATTCTAGCCTCTACAGCCAAATAGTGCAGTATGGATGGATCATAATAGGTGAGTATGGATGTGACTGAGTCCCAAATGACTATTTCTTCGCTCTATTTTGCACTGCTGGGCTGCAGGATCCAATATTTGAATTCCTACGTACTGCACTATGTAGGGAGCAGGGAGACATTGAGATTCAGCCCCAGCGTGAGAAGAGGGCACTGCTGGATTGGTGCTAAATAAGACTCACGGTGGTAATTTGGTGACCAAAAAGTACTTATAAAGCAAACATTTTTGCATTAAACAGTGCTGTATTATGATATGTTCATTGTTATATGACAAAAATTCATAAAATGACCACAATATACATTGTATACAATATACATGTACATGGCAACGATACCGTACTCTATAGGAACTACACATTTCTTGGGGAAATATTTGTTTATGTCAATTATTATTAATAATAACAAATTATTTTCTGCTGGTCGCCATTTTATAAAAGCAATATGCCATTTGAGACTGTGTGTTACCTCGATTTTGTCATGGGAAGGGTGTTCTTAGGCATGACGGGAAGCGGAGTGCCTAAAACACCCTTCCCAGTGATAACACACCTGGGAAGGGTGTTTGAGGCACTCCGCTTGCCGTCATGCCTAAGAACATCCTTCCCATGACAAAATTGCAGTAATGCACAGCCACTCGTGGCTTATTGCTTCAACATACAATAGCAACTACCTGAAATAACATAGCAAAAGGCAAAGCTAGCAAAACCTTAACAACCACCTGGAATTACATAGCACTTGCTTCGTCAAGCTAACTGAAGGTTTGTTCAACTTTCCCCGTCTACTTACTGTAATCCCCTATCCCATGCGAATTGGTTGTAAATATTTCAGGCATATAATAACATATGACACATTACATACTGTATGTCTGGAAAACATGTACCCTTTTCACTTTGTTTAACCATGATTTTGCTCCAGTACTGTGTCCATACCTTGCAGAGACCTGAGCTCCACCACTGTGGTGATGTAGTCTGACTCTGAGCGTCCTCTTGATCCCACATGGAAGCCGTGCACTCCTCATAGAAATGGTGCAGGTAGGAGCGAACTCCGAAACCATGGCAACCAGAGCCTGCCATGCTTTTAAAGCGCGCTGAGCGCTCTGACCCACAGACCTCTGAGCAAGAGGCCATCTCTTAGACCTATAGAAAACACATATCACAGCATACATAAAGTCAGCTTCAGTCACAGTGACAAATACAGTGGCAGTCTGAATACTGACCAGTGGTTCATCATTCATCATTATGGATAAAGCTTATTTGCTGGCCACTAATCTTGTTTTTGGCCAGCGTTCTGTAGACCAGGTCTTACTAGGTCCCCTTTATAATAGGTGCCCTATTAAGCAGATTTACTTATTCATAATAGTGACTAGGGTATAAATACAATACAAAGGAGGGTTACTTCTAATTCTCTATGAAACATTTTAAACCCCTAAAAAAATTAAATTGGTTGTTCTTTGCAGAATTTGCAGAACATTTTTGTAAATGAAAAATGTGAGTGTGGCAAACCTTTGTAAAGTTTGAAAAATCTCCACATATGGTAAATGTTCATGGATAAAGTCTTAATCTGGTACAGAATATCTGCATTATGTCTTCGAAATCATGACTCACTTCTTCAAACATGGCTCTATGAGGCACCAAAAAGTGGTTCCTCTATAACCCTTGAGGCACCTTTTTGCGTATTTGAACGCCAGAGTGAAATGGATGCGCCTGTTTCGGCTGTTACTGTTTCAGAGGTGACTGGCCGCCCACAGATGAGTCACTCTCTCACACAGAGACCATAAACATGCTCCTCTCTCTTTCTCTCTCTCTCTCTCTCTCTCTCTCTCTCTCTGTCTGTGTGACCATCTACATCAATGCTTCTCCCTGCTCTTCAGTCTTTGTTTTCCTAACACAGCTGATTCAACTGATGAAGTGCTCATTAGTTGATTAGCTGAATCAGGTGTTTTGGAGCCAGAACACATTAAACCATGAATGAATCCCACGATGGCACTGTTCCTCAGCGTTGACTACTGCATTCAATGCATCTCAAACCTCAAGACCACCTCCGCAATGCTGATTACTTTTAAGTACCATGATAAAGAAGGCTTGAGCAAACACTCTTAAAAACAAAGATATCAAATGGGTTCTTTCCAATGATTCCATAGAACTACTACTTTTGGCTCCCTAAAGAACCTTTCCATAGATTGTCATTTATAGAACCATTTCTGTAAATGAAATATGTGAGCGTGAGGACACTTTTCAAAGTTGAAAGAACCTCCACAAAATGTAACCAAAAAGGGTTCTTCCATTGGTACAAGCTTGACATCATAACAACACCTTAACAACCACCTGGGATAGCATAGTAACTGCTTTGTGAAGCCAGCTTAAAGTTCGTTCACAAACTTTTGTGTGCTATAGCAAACAATTTTCAAGAAAGTTCTACACAGAACCGTATCGCTGTTGTCGGAACAAAACCTCGTATCTCCAAAATGATAACTTTAAGCAGAGTGGAAAAACATACTTTACTTCTAAAGTAAGGTAATGGAACCAGACTTTTTTCCAAGTAATTTTGGACCGTTTCTTTTGGTTCATTAATTATGAAATTTACACACAATGCAAAGGGGCAAAAGGCATTTTTGAAATGTCCAAAACTGAAAAACGACAAAATTCAAGATTGACAGCAGCAATATACAAAACATTCTCCATCAATCTGAAGAACCATTTCACAGCGCAAAGAAATGGTTCGATGTAGAATTCCTAGCTCTAAACAGAACCTCTGACTATACTGAAGAACCATTGAAGAACTTTTTAAAGTATGTACTTGAAGATTTTGCCTAGAACCACAAGTCCAAGTCAAGACCCACTTGGGAAACTTATTTGTTTTTTCAGAGTGTATATGGTCAAGTGATATGTCTGTCTGCCAAGCTCTGATTGCGTCATTCGACGTCTATAAAAGTCCTTACTCGGTGCAATCGCCTAATCTGTTTATCCGCATGTTTACAGAGCTGCGCGTTTTAGTATGGAACGAGCGCCAACTGTGTACAGTCGCTGTCCGAGGTCCTGAAAATCGACTGACTGATCGACCCCAGTAAACATGACCGCTTAAACATCTCATCAGTCTCACTAAGCCGTCAAACGACGTTGATAACTCCTAATAGCAAAACTCTGACATACTTAGGCTTCATGTAGCTTAGCACACGTTCAGGCCAATAAACCAACGTTCTCATTAATCTACACTAAATGTTATTACACAGAATCCACTACTACCATCAGTCATGTTTGCAGAGAGCAGCATCTTCCTTCCCTTTTCTCCGCTTTCCCTTTCTGCTCATCACTCCATCTACCTTCTCATGTCCATCTAAGGCTGTTTAATCAACAGGCTGTGCTGAGTTAACGAGGAAAAAAGCTAAGTGATACCCGGTTTGCAGAGAGGGATCCTCGCCACTTCTTCACTCGCGTCCCATCGCTCCTCCAGCGCACACAGCCCCGCGCATGCGCAGTGCTGGTATTATTTATTTATATACTTATTTGTTGTTGTTGTTGAAGTTCAATTGCTTGCCGATGACGGACGGTGATGATGGTGATGATGGCGATGACGGTGATGACGACAGCCGGTGAAGACCGTTTATTATTGTGTCTGTCATTCATCACAGCCGTTCAAAGACTAAGGGAACAGCTAGAGAGCAGAACTGAAACCTAAATAAATGTTTTGAGAGCGAACCTCAAGCTCTAGAGTTGAAATGATGATAGATCTTAAATAACTAGAGGGCAGAACTATCAGTGAAGTCTAAATAACTAACTTTAAACTGCGAATAAATAACTAAAGTAGCATTTAAAGGTGTGCAATCACTTGCTGAATTTGTGTTATTTTATATAAGAGCTCAAACAAAATGGATTGAACTCCTTAAAATCCCAGGCTTATTACATATTAAGGCTTCTTATTCAGTAACCACAGGGCATTCAATTCAAGAGTTTTTCTTAGGTCACAGAAGTACATAATAAACTTTGGTCCTGGCCATTTAATGGGTTATATATTATAAACTCTTCCCTAAAAGATATTTTAAGAAGTTTTATTCAATATTGGAAAGGTTTGGTTCTAAACACATTATACATGGCTTTCAAAAATATATCTTTTTCATGATATGTGTTGTTTGGAGTGGGCTTCGCATCAGTGCTGTATTATGATTAATACCGCCTTCATTGCAGAAACAAAAATGTGTTTTCATTATACATCCAAAATTGTTATAAATGGACACTCAAGTTTTTAAATGATAATTAATACTCTGTAATTGTAAAATAGTATGTGAACAGATGTGAATAGAACAAAAACACATTTTATCTTTTATCTTATTAACTCAATTGCTTTCTTGTTAATATACACTCATTCCAAATTTGATGACATTTACTCTGTGTTACATCACCTTCCTCAAAAATTCCTCCCAAAATTCATATTATGAATTTAATAAGATGCACGTTTTCAGTGGGAGACAGTTGTAGACTGCAGGTATGCCAGTCTGGCACCTGCATTCTCAGACTGTTGTAAAATGTGTAGAATGTGTTTTGGTGCTGTCATGTTGAAATAAGCATTGGTGTCCCTGAAAGAGACAGCATATAAAAGGCAGCATATGTTGCTCCAAAATGTGTTCAGCATTAATGGTGGTTAAGTTGGTTAAGTCACCCACTAATAAACTCTTCCAGACCATGACAGAGCCTAGATTTTGGATTTACACTGGTGATTATCTGTACAATATCGTATTTCTTTGGCCCAATGAACATGATGTTCATTATTTTTATAAACAATTTGAAAAGCTGACTCATCAAACCACAATACACATTTCTGCTGTGCATTCCATTTCAGATGAGCCCGAACCCAGAAAAGTCGGCAGCGTTTCTAGATGTTAATCCTTTCCACTGTGCAGAGTACAGCTCCACATGTGGATGCAGCGATGGGCAGTGTTTTCTGACAACATTTTGTCACAGTATTCCCAAACCTATGTGATGAAATCTATCACAGAAGCATGGAGGTTTGTAATGCAGTGCTGTCTAAGGGGTCAAAGGTCACAGGCGTTTATTAATGTTTTTTGGCCTTACCATTTACATACATAGATTAGTCTGAATTCTCTGAATCTTTTGACATTATTATGCACGAAATAGGATGAAAGACAGCATTCTTCTGTAGGCTTCTGAATTAATTTTGCTGCTACCCTCATGAGTTAAGTCATCAATAAAGATTAGTGAGCCTGTTCCAAAAGCAGCCATGCAAGCTTAAGCCATGATACTACCTCCACCATGCTTAATTGATGCTCGTATGTTTTGGATCATGAACATGATCACTCCACACTTTGGCCTTTCCATCACTTTGCTATATGTTAATCTTGGTTTCATCAGTCATGTATTTCTTTGCTAATTCCAATCTGGCCTTCCAATACATTTTGCTGATGAGTGGTTTGCATTTCGTGGCATGGCCTCTACATTTCTGCTCTATATGTCTTCTTTGAATGGCGGATTGTGATACCTTGGAGGCAATGTGGAGGTTGTTGGTGATGTCACTGACTGTTTGTTTTGGATTTGTCTTCACAGAACTCACAATGTTTCTGTCATCAATTGCTGTTGTTTTCCTTGGACAACGTGTTTGATGTCTCGTGGTTAGTACACCAGTGGTTTCATTCTTTTTCAACATATTCCAAATTGTTGCATTGGCTGTGCCTAATGCTTTTGCAATGGCTCTTCCCTTAGACAACTCTCTAGTCTCGATGCTGGTTTATCTTTTTAACAACAAATGCAGTTTTCACAAGCAAAAACTCAGGCATCCAAACAAAAGTAGATAATCAGAGCTATTAATTATTTAAACAATTAATCTAGCAGGACACACCTGGGCAACAAGAAAGATCTATCAGTCATATTTTTCAATATCTTGGCACACTTGAAAAATGGGTGAGTTGAAAACAAAAAAATGCCATGTTCTACATTGTTACATCTAAATGTAAATATAAGGAAATAAAAGCTGAAATTCTGATATATTGGCTCATATTCATCTTCAGTGTATGACAAAAGCAAAAGAATTGACCATATGTGCACTTGGTAGTTCACAGTTACTGACTTTAACCCAGCTGTTTGTCAGTCCCTCTCTAGCTAACCATCAATGGCAAGGAATCACTGTATGACCATCACTGCTACACCAGAAACACTTGCACCAGTGTCACAAACACTTCCATGCCCTTATAATTTCAGTGTCACTGACACTGTGTTAAAAATGGTCCCAAATAATATCTGGCAACAGTGGTCCTATTGTGGTCACTTTGAATTAATGGCTAGTAGGGGTGGGAATCTCTAGGCACCTCATGATTCGATTCGATCACGATTCAGAGGGCTGCGATGCGATTATAAAATCTCGATGCATCTTTTTTTTCTATGTAGCATTTAAATTTTCTCACTGTGTGAGCTCAAATTTCGAGTTCAAGTTTCAAGTTTATTTGTCATTTGCACAACATGACATTGAAATGCTTCAGCTAATCACTCTACAGAAAGTAAATAAGTAAAAATAAAGATACAAGAAGAAACAACTGAAATATATATACAAAATATACACAAAATATACACAGAATGTAGAGACAATATAGATTTTAAAGTGACTTAGTGACTCAGTGTTATTGTTATTTAAAGTGACTTGGTAGTTTTAAAGCAAAGTATTTGTAATGATCCATAATGAATTTACTTCCAATATCTTTTTTAATAAAACAAATGGAAGTGATGTGGCAAGTGAACTAGACGGCTCTCAGTCAGTGCTCTTGTTTGGAGCACGAGAAGCTGCTGTAGCTGAGCTAAAGCTTAAAGCAGAGCGAAGTAAATCTGCGTTTTCGTTTATATTTTTAGCCTATACTAGGACATCAGCACATACTGAGACATACTGGACATTAAATTTTGTGGCTCCTAAGGTGGTTTGACTTTGTTGAAAGGTCAAAATGTCTCTTCTTATCATTTGTGTTGTGACGCCTTTTAATGCAGAGGATGCTGCTGGATTTCTTACTCATCCAGTAGTGTTTTTATGTGCCGACACAGACTATCTGGGCGCTGCACTTACCCACTTCCAAGTTATAAATTAAATATTTAGAAAATCGATTTTTGATATTTGTGAATCGATTCAGAATCGTTCACGTCCGCATCACGATGCAACTAAGAATCGATTTTTTCCCGCACCCCTAATGGATAGGATAGAGTGAGGACTGATACACCATGCAGCAACAAATGGCCTACAGTCAGTAATTGTAAGCCTACAATACTCAGAGACCAGAGCTCAGTCAGAGACTACTCTTCATTTATTTAGTTTTCAGTCAGAACTATCATTGAGTATTTTATCAATTTCTCAGTGTCAGGAAAAAATAGAAAACAAAGTATCTCCAAAATGGTAACTATAAAAAAAGTTAATGCAAAGACATTTTATTCCAAGCAATTATGGAGCATTTTTATCGGTCTGTCATCATGAAAATGTCACACAGTGCTGCTCAATTGAGGTAAAAAAAAAGTTCAGTCTTAGAAGTTGGTTGCATTTTCTGTGTCTCATGATCCAAATTATCCCAAAAACATTCAATGATGCTGAGGCCTGGACTCTGGGATGGACAGTCCATTATTCCAGGAACACCAGCAGCTTCTTTATTCAATTTTCAAATGTTCTTTCCTTTTCTCAGGCTTCTTCACAGCTTCACATCCTTCACATTCTCAGACACATAGTGTGGAGTTGTCTTCTATAAGTCTGAAAGCTTCAAGTGCTCTTTATCTGGCAGGGACAGTTTTGGTGGTCTACCAGGTCTTGCACAGTTGTCAGGAGCCCCATTTTCTCTGTAGTGTTTAACTTTTTAAACTCCAATTTTGGAAACTCTTGTTTTTTTCACTTATTTTCCTTTGACCTTCTCTTTCTTTGCGTTGCTTGTACTTACAAGGTACGTGTACCTAATATACTGGAAAGTCAGTAAATATAGTGTATCCGTAAGAGCTGTGTGGGTTCGAATGATGGAAGTATGATGTGCTGGGATTGCAAAGGGAAATTACACAACAGTTCAGCTACTAGTGAGCCAATGAAATCCCTGTAACACCTCACTTCACACAGTTGGAACTCATACCAGAAAATATAATGTTAACATATCACCTTACATGACTCTCTTTCAGTTTATTTCCTCTCTAGCTCTCACAGTTGACCCTGCCTCACTATATCCAGGGGAATGATTTCCATGCCTGCACATGCAGTAAAATACAGCCAATGATGAGTGGCCCCAGAGCTGCAAGTGAACGCTGGAATTAAAAAGGCAGGAAGGCTACAGCAGCTATAAGCTTTAATTCCTTCTTTCCAAGTGAGATAACAAGACAGACCATCAAGGGCATGAAGAATAGCCTGTACTGTCTCTAATAAGCCTGCTGCCTCTCTCTACATTATAATGCACTGTTAAGAGAAAGTGGTGGCAATGAGCTCTCAAATTTAAAACACTTTCTTTTTCTAGAGCTGG